TTGTCGCTTATGAGCGAAGAAGCTATCCAACAATTAATGAATTCTGTTGTTGATGATGATGATTCAGAAGATGATAAAAGCGTGAATGAAGAAGACTTTGACAGCGATGATAGCGCTCAAGAAGTTAACATGCAATTAGCAAATGAAGATTTTGAAGAAATCGATCATTATATTGAGCATTTATGTAATGCAAGTGCAATAGATCTTTTGTCATCGGCAATTAATATAAGTGTAGATGAACCCAATGAGTCTACCCCACCTTGTTCCGAGCAACCAAGTACCAGCAGTAACGCAATGAATATAACAACAAAACAGCCACCAAGGAGGAAAGAGCCCGATCACCGTTACCACAAATTGAAGAAGGTGAAGTTTCTATTCCATCTAACTCTGGTGGATTTTTTAGTTCTGTGAAGAATTGTACACCACAATCTTCACAGTTCAAAAATATAGTTTGAAAAAAAAAACTTGCAGCTACATCGGAAAGAAATTGTATTCAATGGTGAACAGAAATTACCACAAGCATTTAATGAATTGAATACTCCTTTTAAATGCTTTACATATTTTTTTACAAATAAATTGCTGGACGATATTGTGAAACAAATCTGTACTCTAATCAGCAAAACATAAACTCTGATTTCAATTTGACCAGACAAGATTTGAAAATTTACATTGGTATAATATTATATATGTCTGTGTTTCGCTGTCCAAATATTGAAAGTTATTGGTCGAAACACTCACTTGAATGTGTTAGAGTTGCGATGCCATCAAAACGATTTTATGAAATCAAGAAATACCTGCACTTCAATGACAGTTCGTATATGAAGAAAAAGGSTGAGGAAGGGTACGATCAGCTCTACAAAGTTCGTCCACTCATAGATACATTAAATGAACGCTTTAATTCTGTACCCAAATCACCAAGGCTATGTATTGACGAGCAAATGCCAGATAAACCTCACAAACATGGTGTTAAGCCTTTTGTGTTATGTGACTCGTATGTGTTTTCGTATATTTTTGAACTCTACAGAGGTGCTGGTGATAATGATGTTGTAGCAGATGCACCTGACTTGGGAGCATACTTGATAATTTCTATACGTCATTGGCATTGCTTGTTTATTTCCGAAGCAGAGGAATTTATGCACTTGGTACGGTTCGTGCCAATAGACTTCCAAATTGTAAGCTCTCAAAGGACATCGATGTAAAAAATAAAGAACGGGGCTA